TAGAAGGGCTTGGGGAGAAAAGGAGAAATGAAAGGGACGTCAGAGATAGGAAAAAAAAAAAAGAAAAAGGAGGAGAATCTCGGTTTTGAGTAGTCCGAAGGGGATCGAATAGGAGCTGCGTGAGGGCGCATGTCTTACCGGAAGCTTTCCGGACAACGGAAGGAGTTAAAACTCTGGCCGTGGAGCGCCAAGAGGTGGTCCCACGTTCCATGATCTTAAGGCAAGAAGAAATATGACCGAGCTACTGACGTCAGCTTCCTTTTGCCACGACCGACAGTCGACCACCCAGAATCCTGTCACCACCCGGCTGTTCGAAGGATGTTGTTCAAAAGGATCGACGGAACGAGCCGAATAACGATCGCGTTACACGAGTTGACGCGCTTCCTTCTAAATTCCTCGCTGGTACCTACGACTAATAAATGCTCGAAAAAAAGAGAAAGAGAGACAAATGACGAGAACGAGATAACTCGCGAGCGTCGAAACTTAAAATGGTGATTCGAGTGCTATTTACCCCGAGTGGCATTAACGTTTATCGTTAGGCGAATTTCATTATTAAGTCGTTGAAATATCCTCTGGGTAGCGGAGGAACACGCCACATCGCCCCGAGCTTGAATCGATTTCACGTTTTCGCTGCAGCACGCTTTTAACATCGGCGTGTTATTAATGCAAATTCTTTCCCCCATTATCCGGTAGCATTGCGAGATATGTGTATTACACCGCAACGCGTTCGCGAAACAATGATTACAGACGGCGGAGCCAATAGAGGACCTATGAATCTAATTGCAAGTTCGTATTTAATGTTCTCCACCTCGCCCACTCTGCCGTGTGTACGCGGGCAGAACTTGTTCCTGGGAACGATTAAGAATCTCTAGATTGCTACGGGTGCTGTAATGGCGTCGTTAACGGTGCTAATGTGATTACCGGCTGAAAGCACCGGACGAGTTCCCGAAGACAAAAACACCGGCAATTTACGTTCCCTCGTACAAAATCGTTCGCTCGCGAATGATACTTTTTCGTTTGGAAATTAACACGAATCCCGTCGTCCCGTCCAACCTGATAATTTCCTTTCCACTTCTTCGTCTCCAACCGCTCCGACCGCTTATCGCTTCCGAGTAAATAATTGGCCCTACTCGGGGCCAATTATTTATTCCTAACGACGCGAAATTCGAAGAAAAACATCGGTATGGGCTGGTGGGAGGGGATGTGCGCGCACAATGCTTTCATCCGTGCGATGGCAAAGATAGCCAGGACCGTTAATTTCGGTGCGAACAGGTAAAATTTACGCGCGCGATCCGTTGGCAACAATTAGTCGCTTATTTTCTGCTCGGCAGTGCTCCCATTCCGCCACGCTAATTATCATCTGACCCGCCAAATATCTTTTCCGATCCGACACACGATGGATTCTATTTTCACCTGGGCATCCGATAGATCACGAAATTGTAATTAAAGGGACGGAAGGCAGTCAACGCCTTGGCTAATGGACGCGAGGCTACGCTCAACTTAAACTAACGCATCACAACGTGACCAAGGAACAAAAGTTCCATCACTAACATTCGACCGAACGAACGAGAAAATTGATGATTTCGAACGGGCATGTTCCAAGATAACGTTACCTCAGATATCTACGTAAAATGCTCCTTTCCCTCAAATTTACATTGACTTCTGTCTCGAACAAAGTGTAACATGGGCTCTCACTCGAGGTCACCGCTCAGCTATCATCAAACTACATACTGCGTAGCGGAAGATTGCTTTTCTTGGCTCAATTTGTTTGTTGTCCTACTATCTGTTTATCGGTGTCGTTGGATTACGACGTAAAATGCCAAGATCCGCGTCTTTGTCTAATTTTTCATCGATTCGTGGTATATGGACACTCGCGTTACAACGTTCTGGCAACGATATCGAGCTTCGTCGAGGCCCGACTCGCACACCGTCGGATAGAAAACGGCTCGACACGGATCATCGCGAGTACACGAGGTAACTCCTCCACCGGATCTTCAGATCGAAGATTTTCAAGAACGTCGTTCTGTCGGGAGGCAACGAGGCCTGTGCGTCTTTCGAGATACTTTGCCCTTTTCTTACGTGCGTTTATCTACACGTAGAGAATAAACTGAATTGTTATCTACGAACGAGACACGTCCTACTCGGGAAAACAGAAAGTTTCCATTCGCGGCAGGGTGATTTCCATACGTTGGCACGTTAACGAGCTTGCATGTTGCACGTCGGTAATCCTGCAGTTTACGGACAGAAGTGAAAATGGAGCAAAATGTTGAGGGACAAACGGCGTTTACGAGAGAAGGAGGAAAATTATGGAAAACTCACGGTGATCGAGAGCAGAATTGGCGACGAATGCTTTGCCAGTTGGACATTCCAAGCTGGTATTAGCGGTAGCGGCGGCGTTGCCAATGCCCTGCAGGTGGTAATGCCCGAAGGACGGACCCCTGGGCGCCATGATGGCCGCGATGCTGAAGTCCGTCGCTTTTCCCCTTTCCCCCTTTGTAGGCATCCCTTCTCGGCCGACGACACTTTGATTCCAATTTTTTCCTCGCGTTCTCTTCTCGCCTCGTGTGCTGCTTCTGCTTCTCCTTCAACGTTTCTCTCTCTCTCTCTCTCTCTCTCT